ACCGGCCGACTTGGCGTTCCCAGAAACGAAAGACATGGCGTTTGCATTGAGAGTTCACTTCTTCTTCTTCTTCTGCGTCATGTTCCAATCGGCACCTTGAGGTGCGAGTCGGCGGCCATGGCGTCCTGGCGATCGCGCGGGATGCCGTAGGCGGCCGCCACGTTCTCGCTGGTGAGGCCCATGGGCAGCAAGCAGGCCTGGGGGTGGACGGGAGCAGCGGGAGCGGACGCGGCGCCAACGGTTCGGGGTTGAAGAAGAGCAAATGAAGAAGATCAACTGCTTAGCTAAAAACTGACATGATCTTTCTAAGGGAATGAGAGAATGTACAACCAACTTCTGGGCCTATAAATCATTTCGGTACCCTGAGTGCTCGGTTCAGTAGATATATGGGGAGACTGATGAAGATCAAGACAGAACATGGCAGCTGTTGAGCAGAATGTTGATCAACTACCCTTCTTCTACTTGCATAATATTGCATATATGTCTCAGAATAAGGCTTCCAGCATTTGATTTGCCATTCACTGGTCGTGTCCTATAGTGGCGTTTGGGGGTTTTCGGGACATCCGAGGTACATCCGATGCACCCAAGACCTCCCCATCCTCTCTCCACCGTGCCTCGGCATCCGGGTAGTCCAAGACATCCTTGGAGAGCTTGGTGATGTCGATGGTGGCCATCATGGGGAACCTCACCGGCAACGTGGTTTCTCCACAGGTAGCATTTGCGTTTCAGTGGCATCGCAAGTTGCAAGGAAAGGACGGAATCATGAACGCTGCACTCTTCATAAGAAGATTGGGGCCCGTCCTTTTGTGAAAACAAATGACATTTACAAAGGAACCAATGCCGTCTGTTTCAATTCCAAGACCCCAAAAAGATCGGAACTGAAAGAACGGATCTGATTCTCTGAATCTGCCTCAAAGGCATCTGATTCCAAACGTCATTTAAGCATCCAAAGGCATCCAAGGCACATGCTCATGTTCTCCACACCACCGGCGAGCCCCACGTCGATGACACCGGACTGGCACGGTGTAGAAGCCCCGAAGACTCGGAGGACCCTGAAAGGCCCTGAGTTGTCCAAAGACCTCAACCCTGGTGGTTTTCACTCAATTCCCTCCACTCTCCAACGCTGTCAGGGAGTGTCTCCAACGCTAGCCTCTCTTTCGGTCCGGAAGTCGCTCCCGCACATCTCCCTCGCCTTGATGAAGGCTGCAATGGTGGCAGTGGCCTGCAAGCTGCTGCTGCACTGGCGATTCACCTGGCGGCGATTCACACCGGCGAAAGGAGGCCACGAAGTGTGTCATTGCCCCGTGATGGAGAGACGAAACCGTGCACGAAATGGCTTCCAAGGCACCTTCAAAAGATCACATTCTCACTGATACACTGATAGAGAGCTGTCTCAGGTCTTTCATGTACTGTCACTCCAACATCACATTCTCATTGTCACACTGCAAAACCACCGTGCCACCATGTGCCACCACCCGGAGAACCCGTCCCGGCCGTGCTCAAGGGAATCTCATAGGGCAACTCCGCGATGAACTGCCCCATGCCTCGGTGGGCACGGCCGGTTTTGGCATCCCTTTGGCTGTGGCTCCGTCTCCCTAGTAGGAAGGAGAAAACAAAAAAAGGAAGGATGTGAGTTGGACCAAGAGTCACCGGGTCGACAGCGCTCGACAGCACACGACAGCACAGCATAGTTTGGGACCCTGCCCTGAGAAAAGAATGAGTTCTCAGTGTTGCAGGGTGAAAGCAACTCTTAAAGAAAAACAAAAGTCAAAACACCTGCCATGTCCGCACTGACCCCTCTGTACAACTCCGGCTCCGCTCCGAGGGACGGGAGGTGAGGCCACTGGCTCCTGGCTGCAACACATTGCCTCGGTCTGAGGATTGGTGCTATCCTCTTCCGCGGATAGCACTGACTAGTAAAGGCTGGAATCTCTTTCCCAAAGCTTCGGACGTAGCAAGATAGACTATAGAATCTCATTTCAGCTCCGTTTGGGTCACCGATGTTCGTTACATGTGGTCACCCACCTACTCGTGCCCAAGCGGCCAATCTGAATGTCACCGATGTCCTTGGGATTCACTTTGGTCCGGGCGACCACCTGCGGCGACTTCGTCAGCGGCGTCGCGTGGCAGCTCCGGGCGGAGTGATGGCAGCGATGTCAGACGGACGCTTCCAAAACCCATGTGCATATATCGCTTACTTGTTGGTTTGCTCACAGATTGCACAGACAAGACATGTTTTTTTCTTCATGTCTGGCAAGAATGTGTGCTTTTTGCTCTGACCGTGGCCTCCTTAAAGACTGCCGCCAGCAAAAGTTCCGGTGCGGTGTCCTGCAGGCAGCGATTGCGATGTCCTGCTGTGGAAGAAACACACCTGAAAGCCATGAAAGCTGTGGCCACCCGAAAAAGAGAACGGAGGTGCTCGCCCCGAGCACTCACAGCGGCCCCCCATCCGCAGCCAACACGTGTTCCAAATTGAAGACCATCAACCAAGTGGCCAAAATTGGCTGATTGGAGTCCTTGTTTGAAAGGTGTTCAAAGAGCCATCGAAAAATCCGCAGCCAGACCGGCCAGACCCCCGGGCCCGTCACCGAACGTCTCGGAACGTCACCACATGACCATCCCGTCCTTGAAGGCTCCGCGCTTGGCCTTGCACAAGGGAGTTCGCACCGCGCAGCAGATCACCACGTCGTCCTGCCCACAAAACACCAGCAGAATCCGTATACAAATCCTCAGGATTTTGAACAAGGAACACCCTCTGCGCGAAAGAGTCGACTGAGTTGCAAGGTTCACGTGGTCGCTTCAACTTGTCAGTTGGCTTCATTCCTGTTCGTGAGGAGAAGCGGTCTCCCCCACGAAGGATCCAACGAGTAACAAGAAGCTATTGGAATTAAGTCTAATTAGAATTTAATGCTATTCCCGCTTAGAGGATCCAACATTAGCTTATTGTTTCTAATAGCTGTTTGTTACTACTAGTAAGGCACTTGTTACTAGTAGCGATGCACTTGTTCCTACTACAAATCTCTCTGCGAACCGCGTGCATCCCACTGATTCTGCTCTCGCAAGACGGCTCTCTGTAACGACCCTCCAGCAGCGCCTTTTCATGGGAAACCGATCGATCTCTTCCCGTTTTTCTCTTATAGTAACAAGAAGCTACTGGGGGCTCCTGGCCTTACTACTAACAGCAAGGACGCTACTAGGAGCTCCTGGCATCGCTACGAACGAAGCATTTTGCCACAGTTCCGTTGCGGGGTCCTCACCCTTCTCGGCGGCGCAGTAGCCAGCGGTCGGCTGGGCTCCTAAGCGATGGGAGTCCACCGCGAACGGCGGAATCGGCCCGTTCGGTCCGCTCGGTCCGGCCACGCCGTCGGTCGGAAAGTGGGCATCCGGAAGGTCCAAGGTGCCAAGCCAAGCTCCTTGGACCTTCCTTCTGTCTCCTTCTTTCTCCTTCTTCGACCTTCTCTTTCTGTCCGTTTTCTTGCTGTTTCTGCTTCTTCTCGGGGAGCGCTCGGTGAAATCAGGTTGATAGAAACTGATAAATTGGTTCTTCAAGCGCTGGATCGTCCACCTTTTGTCTTGGCCATCCATCACTTGAGACGGGATTTGACCTGTGTGGAAAGGTTTCGATCTGCATGTCATGAACGGCGTCTTCTGAAGACACACAGAATCCTCATGTCCACTTCATCTTCCCACTTCCATCCACTTCCAACTTCATCTCCAAGTTTCCCAGTGGAGAAACCTGCGCCACGCCATCCCTCACGTGGCTGGCAATGCGTGCGACGCGGTTCATGGCCGACGGCGTGAAGGACCACGGTGTCTCTCGGCGTTCAAGGAGGACCACGCTGAGAGCCCCGTAGCACGGGTGACGAACGAGGCATTTCGGAGAACTGGTCCCAAATCAACTCCAGGTGTCTTCCGAAACACCAGCATACACCTGTTCTGTTTCTGATGTCATCCAAAAAAAGAAAAAAGACATGGAACATCGTTGAGCAATTGAGCCTTCGTGACCCTTCCCCTCTTGGTGTTTGACAGTCCAGCTTCAGTTTGCATCACCCTACTTCATGGCTTTCCAGAAGCCTCTTCGGTACAACCTGTTCTGAATATTTTGCTGTTTGGTGACTTTTGTGTTCTTGCCTTCTTGCCTCATCTACCAGAATGTGATCCTGTCGTTTGAAGAGGTCCACGGCAAAATTAACTCCCAATATTGTCATATGACAACTCTCAAAGCATTCAAATGCGCAAAAACAAGTCCATGGAAAACCTGACTGAGAAAGCACCGTACAAAACAAAAAACAACAACTAGAATGACTTTCCCTGGGCTCCACAAATGGGTTTTCATCAAAATGTAAGATCAATTGATGTTAGCTGTCTTGAGATGCTTCAAAGCCTTCAAAAGCCGAACGCATCTTCTTCTCTCCTTTCCCGGTCCGGTCCGAACGGAGCACGGCGGTTCGTTCTGGTGACGCCGCGGGGACTGGTCGACCGAATCGTGGGCTTCCGAACATGGACCTCTGCTGGAGTGGCGCATGCTGGAATCAACTTGGCCGAATAGGCCATTTCAGGAATGAACCATGTAGACTGAGAAGAGGGAACATCTTAGGCAATATCCTTGCCAAAGCTTTTAGGCAGGGTGTTGGCGGCACATGTTTTTTTCAATATGAGCGTATGATGTTTGGTCTCTACCGAACAGAAACCCAAGGCAAGATGATTTGAAGCGGCTCTGGATGAGGTGTTAAAACTTGTTGGTACCATATTGTTATAGCTTTTTGTTACTACTAGTAAGGCACTTGTTACTAGTAGCGTGGCACTTGTTACTAACTTATTAGAATGCTTTTTGCTGAAGATTTCTTTCGGAGAACATGACTCGCACCCACTGATCGTCGACCAGTCAAAAGCGAAATCTGCCTCTAAAGGCAGCTTGAAACGGTTCGGCCAAGGCAAAACAGCACGAAGCATCCATTCGGGTTCCTTCGTGCCCTCTTGGGCCAATCTGCATCTGCCACTCACTCCAACTCAATCACGGAGGCTGCACCCATGCCACTGCCCAGGCACATGGAGGTCACACCATACCTGGAGATTTCACGGAATGATTCCACCCTCCGATCTCTCTCCAACCTACTAGCAATGGCCTAGAACCTACTAGGCCTATTCCAACCTGTCTGACAGAACTCCTGAACTCAAGTCCCTAAGCAGCATCCCCACAACAAGTACAGCCTGGGAGCCCAAAATCGGCCAAGCTGCCGATCGAACCCGTCTATCAAGAGATGTCTCTTCTCTCCGAAGCTTCACACGCGACCTCTCCGCCCACACCGAGCGGCTTCTTGTTCTGTCGCTTCAGCTCCGGCAGCAGCGTGGCGATCTGCCGGGCACCGGTGGCGCCCAGCGGATGGCCCAGGGCGATGGCGCCGCCCTTAGGGTTCACCTGGCGCCACGGAGTGGGGTAGCTCCACCTTAGTAGTGTCCGTGCTCCTAGTAGTAAGGCCAGGAGCCCCTAGTAGCGTCCTTGCTTTGGATGAGATCTTCTTCAAATCGTCTTTGGAGATTGAAGGTGATCCTACAAAGCTCCGCTTGTCACACTCCAGCAGAGATTGTGGGGCATTAAGAGGGAGGTTCAACTGTCCCATTGCAAGATCCAAGCTTCACATATATCATGTGCTACAAAGCGCGTGAAGATCGTAAACAGCAAAACCCTTCGATCCGAAACACTTCTCCATGCGCCTTCTCCATGGGAATCTTCAAGTGGTCGATGGACCTCGCACACCGCAACGGTCGGCCGCCCGTCACGCTCTCCGGTGCCCAGCGCGGTGCCCACCGGTGCCCACCGGCAACCCCTGACCGTTCAGGTTCCCCATCCGCCAAGACACATGGTCGCCTGGGACGCGAAAGCCTCGTTGATCTCGTAGACGTCGATGTCCTCGACCTTCAAACCAGCCTGATGGTGGACAGCTGGAGTGCGGAGAGTGCGGTGGAGAGGGAGAAGCTTTGAATTCGTTTTCGGTTCCACGTTCAAAATATTCACGAGAACCTTTGCTCACGGGTGTGACTTTGAGATGCCTGTCCCAGGTTGATTGAAATCGACCAAGTTTTGTGGCAAAATGGAGTGCCATGTGTGTTCCGCTTGAACTGGATCAAGCGGCCTTCTCAAGTGCAGGAGGGATGGCGAAGGCCGGGCCAATGCCCATGAGCTTGGGGTCCACGCCCACCTCAGAGATCGAAACCAACTCTTTCCGGTCAAAGAATGGAAACGACATGAAGCAGATTGAAAACAGTTCAGGATGCAGAGGAAAAAGAGGACAAGACGGGATCCTGTATTCTCCAAACACCTCCCCCAAGAAGGGATTGAAGCATCAACGCGCAGTCATAGGTCACACCCCTTGACCATCCCTGAGAATCTATATATGACTTCTAATTCTATTGAATTCTTGTTTCTAATAGCTTCTTGCTCCTAGTAGTAAGGCCAGGAGCCCCTAGTAGCGTCCTTGCTCCTAGTAGCGACCTGCAAGCCTGAAAGCTCTCTGAATGCAGTCTCCGAGGTGGAAGGCACCCCGGGTTCCCCGGCGCAGGCGAAGGAGCGGAAGCGCGCCACGATGGGCAGACCCAACTTCTTGGCCGCGGAGCGCCTCGATGTGCGAAGCGCAAGCGAAGCGCAAGCGAAGCGCTATAAGTCAACAGTGGAGGGAGGTCTGAGTGGAGATCCCCCGAAGAATGGAGATCCCAAAAGAAGATGTGGCTAGGGAATTCGGGTCGAAAAGCCGTGAAGCCAATGATGTGAGGCCGAAAATTGGGAAAAGAAAACAGAAAACGGCATGGATTCCGTTCGATTGCAGGTCGGCAGTCCCTTGCAGGTCCGAAGTCTGAACCGATCAGAAAAACAAGTGAATTCAGTGTACTCCGATTGCTCTGTAGCAAGAAGCTACTAGGTGGAGGCCATCGCTATTAGGTTGGAGGCCATCGCTACTAGAAGCAAGAAGCTACTAGTAGCAAAGGGCATTGCTACTAGTAACATTCGGCTCGCCCACCTGGCCAAGAGCACCATGGCCGCGCCATCGGTCACCTGGCTGCTGTTGCCTGCGGTGGTGCTGCCACCCGCCTTGAAGGCCTTGGTAAACCACGCAGCGAAGACACGAGGCCTGCGTGGCAACTCGCTTCGTTCAGCTGATCTCTTATGCGCCACAAAAGCACCGGGCGTCCTAAATGTCCCTCTTCTGCCTTTGGATTGAGATCCACCTTCTTCCCAATTCCGACAGACGAGAAACTGGCTTCAGCTTGGCCAAGCTTTCACGCGTGGTGCCCGCACGTGGGCCCTCGTCCTTGTCCACCACCACCTTCTTCACGCTGCCGTCCTGCGGCGACCACGGCCGTGCCTGTCGAGCGTGCCGCCCGCATTGAACAGTGAAGCGCTCGAGTGATGGATCTTGTCCAGGACAAAGAAAGAAGCCACAAAACCATACTGAAATACTCACAAATACTCACCACAACTGCTGGGAGTTGGTGATTCCCAAGTCACAAAACAATGTCCGCGCCGTCCTTCTGCTTGCTCTCAATGGTCACAGGCACGATCTCCTCTTTGAACCAGCCATTCTTCTGAGCTTCCAAAGCCTGTCAAGGTTCCAAATGCCTTTGACCAACTAAACTCACAAATAGCATGTCAAACGCAGAAGAGAACAGGCAATAGGGCCTATCCAGGAGTTCCAAAGGGGTGCTTTTTAGCTAAGTGAGTGGGCACCCCAATCCTCCATCAATCACCCCCAGCGGCACTGGATATAACAATGTTCGCTACTAGGAACAAGTGCATCGCTACTGGTAACAAGTGCCTTACTATATAGTAGTAACAAGAAGCTATAACAATATGGTACCAACAAGTTTTAACACCTCATCCAGAGCCGCTTCAAATCATCTTGCCTTGGGTTTCTGTTCGGTAGAGACCAAACATCATACGCTCATATTGGAAAAAAAAATGTGCCGCTGTATCATCAGTATCGGAGTTACATGACTGCACATCACCAAAACTCCAACACCCTGCCTAAAAGCTTTGGCAAGGATATTGCCTGAGATGCTCCCTCTTCTCGCCACCATTTAGTCTACATGGTTCATTCCTGAAATGGCCTATTCGGCCAAGTTCATTCCAGCATGCGCCACTCATTGAACTGTAAAGAGTTTGACCTCCTCCCAGTCCTGTCTAGTGTTCATGTGAGGTCTCCACACGCCACCTTTCCGCAGAAATGATCCAAACATGGTCCATACATTCCCAAACATGAACTAGGAACAAGAAGCTACTAGGAACAAAGGGCATCGCTAGCAAGGACGCTACGTTCGGGGCTCCTGGCCTTACTAGGAGCAACGACGCTCCTCGGTTCCCCGCGTTCCCGGATGCACAGGACCAGCTCGTCTCGAGGCCTTGAGGTGCGAGTCGGCGGCCATGGCGTCCTGGCGATCGCGCGGGATGCCGTAGGCGGCCGCCACGTTCTCGCTGGTGAGGCCCATGGGCAGCAAGCAGGCCTGGGGGTGGACGGGAGCAGCGAACCGCGGCGCGGTTTCGGACTGTTGCGGGCAGAGGCAGCTCATCGACCTCCGCCACGGCCTCGATCCGTCACCGTCGGTCGGACGCCTCGGCATCCGGGTAGTCCAAGACATCCTTGGAGAGCTTGGTGATGTCGATGGTGGCCATCATGGGGAACCTCACTGCAGCGGCAGGTGCGTCGTCTGAAGGTGGAGCGAAGTACAAGCAGCATACCGTGGCATACAGGACAGCCATCTGTGTCTCTGTCCAAAGAGAACCACTTCAAGAAGGATACGGGAGTTACACATAGACAGCAGTCCGCCATTGATTTACACCCCAACACCCAATCGAAAGAAACGAAACGCAGCCAGGGTTGGATCGTCACATCTGTAACTTGGGACCATCCCTCTCATCCTGCTTTCCCAAAGCCCCAAAGCCAAAGCCCGGCCTGGTTAAGAGTCCCAAGGCATATCATCCGCCTCACCCTACAAACATCCAAAGAATCCAAGGCATCCAAAGGCAGCCAAGGCACATGCTCATGTTCTCCACACCACCGGCGAGGCCCACATCGATGACGCCGGACTACGCGAAAGAAGAGAACGCACACGCTGAACGATCCACGCTTCGACCGTGGGATTGGAGTCGTCCTTCCCGTTGAGAAGCTTTGGGCTTGTGGCTTGTGGCTTTGGGCGGGTGTTCTTTTTGTGCGCAAAAGGATTTCAAGGCTTCAAAGAGTTTGTTCGTATCGTAAACCGCTCAAATCACCCATCATGTCAGATCTCCTAAGGTCCGAGCGTGTCGTCAAATCGATCTCCCTTCGCCTTGATGAAGGCCGCGATGGTGGCCGTGGCCTGCAAGCTGCTGCTGCACTGGCGATTCACCTCGGTTCCACGCTCAACGCCACGCCTCCACCGGGACCCGGGTCCTCGTCTCCAAACGAAAACACCCCCTTCGGACATTCTCACCCAAACCGCCTGAAGGAAGCACCAAACAAAAACAACTCCTCACCCAGCTACGAATAGCTTCTTGTTACTAGTAGAAATGCCAATTAGCGTCCTTGGCTCCTAGTAGCGATGCCCTTTGCTCCGTTCGTAGCGTCTCCTCCTCTCCCTGAGGTCTTGGACCGTGCTGAGAGGAATCTCGTAGGGCAACTCGGCGATGAATTGCCCCATGCCTTGGCGACTTCGACCCACCAGTCGACCGGAAAGGGTGGAAAGGGACCCGGCGTAAAAATATGGAAAAACGGACAAAGAATTGAAACAAAAAGATAATGATGAAATGTCATATCTTGATATGGAACAAGCTTCTTGTTACATCTTGATCTTCATACAACAAGATGGCTTTTCCATGCGTGCTTTTCTGAGCCTTTTCTGTGATTAGGTTGCTTGCGGAGACCATCTTTTTGGCGGTCTATCGAACACAAAGGGTTTTGCTTGGGTGTCCCCTGTCCATCTCCATCTGGCAACTGCTTCTTTAACCCAACTACGCGCTAGAGGCCTTTTAGAGTTCAAAACCCTTCTGGCAAGCTACGCCTCCTGTGGTGAGAAGAATCCGGTCCAAAAGCGAAAACCACACGATGCCCCTCATCCTCCTACTCCTACCCCGCACCAACCCCCGCACAGACTGCCAACCGCTCCGAGGGGACGCGAGGTGAGGCCACTGGCGCCCGGCTGCAGCACGTTGCCTCGGCGTTCGAGGCGGAGCGTGAAGGAAGCTGGCGGAAGAACTGCGTTGACTGTGGCGATCTCCTTAAAGGTGCAACTTCACAAAGGCCAGTCTGAACTTCACATCTACAAGCTTCGGGACTAAACGTTCACGTACCAGTTGTGAACTCGGCATTTTGAGGCCACTCAATCAGGGTATACGGCGGAAAAAGGTACAGGCCGTAATCTTGCCAGGGCGCTTCGCACCTCCTCGTTAGGTCAACTCACGCGGAAAATGAGTGCCATGGGCCAGTGGCAGATAGGCACCAGCTGGTCCCTGGATATGCCTAGTGACATGGCAAGGGCACATCCCAATAGATGAGGCCTAAGACACGGTTGCCCCCTTCCAAGGGAACCTCGCAACGACCACGCATGTAACCAGCACCAAGCAAGAGGGCCACAAGTGAAGAAGTGATGCTGGACACGATGGCAACAAAGCTGAAGATCATCATGAAGGGCAGATCCCGTAAGCCATGCAATGCAGGCGAAGGGTTCAGATTGCAAGGCCGGCCCAGACGGGCCCTGAAGCCACAAGTGCTTCTCTTGTTGGATTGTCAAGGATGGCGTTTTCATGAGCTGCTCCTGCGTGAGCGAACCGCAAGAGGTGGTTCTCCTGCAAGACACCCCACTGCTTTGCAGGTCTTCCATTTTCCACGGATCATCGGCCACGTTGGGAAGATGCTCAAGGGTAATGAGCTGAGCAGGATCTGCATTGTCCCCAGCTGCATTCACTTTGAAAAGCCCAGGTCCAACAGGGTTCACCGGCAACCACTCCCGAGTCACAATCTCATCCTCGATGGTCTCAAGCAGCAACAAGGTTGGGATCAGAATTGTAGCTGACAAGTTGAAGATCGGAGCATTGGGACCCTCGAAAAACGATTCCCCACCTTCCCAACTTCGAAAGGCAATGGCCCTGGCAGCAGCAAGTGCCACCAAGAAAACGAATCTGAAATAGCCACAGTAGATCTTCTGCTCGTCATGGAATTTGCTCCATCCACTCGGCACGAAGATCCTCATTGCTGTGGGGCCACCACATGTCCACTTGGTCACTTGGATGAGCAAGTAGCGGCTCCAGCCCAGGCGTGCTGAGATGTTCAATGCCATGCTCACGATGCTGGTTGAGACCCAAGCGTATCCACCGCTTCTGACCGCCCCAGCAAAAGCGCACGGCAAGGTTCTGCAAAGCCATGGGCTGCGATGACCATGGCGACGCAGGCGAGGTAAGTTTGGTCTCCAACCACTGGCCCTTGACCATCTTGATCTCTCTTCGAGTGAACCAAGCCATGATAGGCAATCCTGGCGAAGATCACCGTGCCGGTCTCAACCAAGGCCGTCGTGAAGGGCAAGAAAATGCTGGCAGCGAGGCCTCAGCGCTTTCGAACACGTGAAGGAAAAAACTATGCAAACAAGTGCACAAGTGGTCAAAGCAACCAAATGAATCAAACTATGTAAATGCTTCTGCCGGTTGGTTGGTTGGTTGGTGGGTGGGTGGGTGGGTGGGTGGGTTGGTTGGTTGGTTGGTTGGTTCACAATGTCCGTCGTTCTATCGAGCCTTGACCACTGGCCAGGAGGAAAGAGTAGACTTGGGCAATGAGGGTGAAAGCCACAAAGCTGCCAGTCGTTCCGATGACATGAGCAATGGTCCATTTCACGTGAGGGAGGAGGCGGCGGGTCGGGCACGCTTCTCGAGTCGAGTAGTAGTGGAGAAGCACCACAGCATAGATGCCCACAACTCCCGAAAGATACGTGACGAACTCCGACAGCTTGAAGTAGCAAGCACACATCATCACCACGGTCGAAGCGAAGTTGGAAAGAGCATGAATCGTGCTGTTGGCTGGCAAGCCTGTCATAGAGAACGACCACATCTCAATGCAAATAAAGCTTGATGCAAGGCTCCAATCCAAGATGGACAGGAAGCCACAGAACCATGGAACTTCTCCTTCCACTGCTCCTTGCTCCCACTGAATCGACAACAAGACTTTGACCATCTGCAAGAGGAACCCCAGGAGCACAGCCCAGCGCACACGTCCCCATGAGAAGGAGCCAAATGCCTTGAGCTCAGGGTTGTAGACTTCCACATCAAAGCTCCGTGCCATGGCCTTGTCGATGTTCAACACAATCTCACCCGACATCTCCACCAGGACGTTGTCTTCATGATCTGTCAGCAGCAGGTGTCGTGGCTGACAATCCCCCCCAGCCCTGATGATGAGCTTCTGACCCGCCTGGAGCGCCACACCGTCAGGACCACTCTTGGTCCAGAAGCTCCGGGGTCTCGCGGACAGCTTCTTGGCAAAGCTCGAGATGGGCATCTGCTTCGAGGGCGGTTGCCAAGTGAAGTAGTCGCAACTGCTGCCATCATCCACAAATTCCATCTTCACCCGGAGGTCGTCAGGTCCTTCAGTGCGGAAGTGCGCCAAGCGACCGCCTGCGGCCAGGCGCCTCTCAGCCAAGATCCGATCTGCATCGCCACCGTCGCCCACAATGATCAGGCAGTGGTCCTTGAACCTCTGGGCGTTGAGCGCCATGAGCGAACCGACTCACATGTCTCGAGCTAGATCGGCTACTGTGGCGTAGCAATGTACTTTTCGACTCGAAAGCTCAGCAGGCAGCGTGTATCAGGACTATCGGGGGTAGGCCTTGGAGGTGTTGCCGTTTTCGATGCCGTCCTTCTCAATGAACGACATGTTCTTGTTCCTAGTAGCGTCCTCTACGACAGGTTCTTGTGTCCAAGGGGCCGATCTGAATGTCACCGATGTCCTTGGGATTCACCTTGGTCCTGGCCACCACCTGGGGACATCGTCCGCACGCTGCTCACGTGATACATTCCGGGAGCCATGGGGGCCATGGGGGTCGGGTGGCAGGTCACGCACCACGGCGACCACGGTGGGCAAGGAGGATTCATCCGAGAGCCTACGACTGGCCTTCTGAGGCGTTGGTTCTTCGGGGCTTTGGGTCTGGAGATTCCCCATCTCCACGTCTCCCACATCAATGTGTTCGTTTCTCCCGACCTCTTTGAAGACCGCCGCCAACAAAAGTTCGGGCGCAGTGTCCTGCAGGTCGAAAAAACAGCCTCGTGAGGAAATGCCACCCCGTTCCTCTGTGAGACTGTTGGGGCTTATCAAACATTACCGTGTTGAGGGGAAGGCAACTCCCCCTCTGTCGCCCTCCCATCAGTGTGAACCCCACCAGCCTCATATCCTGGTTTTTCGATAGATCCCATTCCATGCCATGCTGTTGGCATCCTTCGTTCCCAAAAGAATTTGGCCTGGAAGGAACATCGCATGACCGTCGCGTCCTTGAAGGCTCCGCGCTTGGCCTTGCACAAGGGAGTTCGCACCGCGCAGCAGATCACCACGTCGTCCTGCCCAGCACATCGGCATCAGATCCGCGATGCGAGGTGGTCCGTTGGTTTGCAGTGCATGAGGATGGTTCGTACATAGGCCTTTCTCAAAAGTGATGAGCTCTTCGACCCGACTGTTGCTTGTACAGTAATGGGACAAACCCATTACTGAGAATGTGTGGATTTTTCCAACAGCTTCTCAGCCCTTCCTTTCATGGCTCAGCCCTCCCAGCCCACAATACTAGTAGCTTCTTGTTAGTAGTAAGGCCAGGAGCTACTAGTAGCGTCCTTGCTCGCTGCTTCTCAGCCCTTCCTCCCAGCCCTCTCATCTTTCTCTCCTCAGCCTTCTCGGCGGCACAGTAGCCGGCGGTGGGCTGGGCACCTCGTGCAAACAGATCGAGCCCTTTCGGCCTCAAACGCTTGTCACTCCATCTAAAGCTGCTCAAGGGCAACAAACTCTTCAAGACTCAACTCTCCAACCTAGCAGCCTAGCAATGGTGTTCGCCTATTCTTTCGCCACGTGACCCAGTGGCTGTTCCTGCGCCGCGCTGTCCCTCACGTGGCGAGCGATCCGTGCGACGCAGTCCATGGCGAAGTGAGCGGAGAAGGTCGGAGCTTGGCGACGAGACGGGCTTGGGCGACGAAAGCGGCGGGCTTGGCGATGAGAACGAAGCACGAGCCAACTTGAAACCGGTGCTTGCCAAAGCTACTAGGAACAAGTGCATCGCTACTAGCAACAAGTGCCCTACTAGCAGTAACAAGAAGCTATTAGAAACAAGTGCCACGCTAGTAGTAACAGGTGCCTTACTAGTAGTAACAAGGACGCTACGAACGGGGCTCCTGGCCTTACTAGGAGCAAGGACGCTACTTGTCGGGAAGGTTTTTCAGGAACTCTTCACTTCGGAGACCTTCATTTCGACGTGACACGTCCCCGACCTTGACTCAGCTTTACCAAAACTGCCGATGTGGCCATGTGCCATTAGCCACAAAGGCCATGCGTCCTTGCTCCTAGTAGCGATGCCAGGAGCCCCTAGTAGCTTCTTGTTACTACTAGTAAGGCCAGGAGCCCCTAGTAGCTTCTTGTTAGTACTAGTAAGGCCAGGAGCCCCTAGTAGCTTCTTGTTACTACTAGTAAGGCCAGGAGCCCCTAGTAGCTTCTTGTTACTACTAGTAAGGCCAGGAGCCCCTAGTAGCTTCTTGTTACTACTAGTAAGGCTGGCCATTAGGCTGGCCGCCCGGAGCCGTCTTCATCGGTGTCCCTTTTTCGCTCGCTCAGCGGAGTCGCCGGTGAGCGTCGGACGCATTCGGCGGGTGGGTTCTGGTGACCAGGCCGAATGGACTGGAGCCACGGTGAAGACGATGCGTTCTTTGGAGTTGGTGGATGTTCTTTTTTTGGGGTAACAAGGTTTGCTACTAGGAACAAGTGCATCGCTTCTAGTAACAAGTGCCTTACTAGTAACAAGAAGCTACTAGTATTTTTGGAGAGCTCGTCACTGTGAGCGTGCACCTTTTTAAGCATTTCAAGCTGCCAAATCTTGCTGTGGAAAGTTTTCAGCTCATACCAAAGCCAAAACTTCTCATGTGGACGAGCATTATTTCTTATTCATTTCTAAATAGTTATTGACTCAATTCTATTTTAATTCTATGAATTTTGACTTAAATACAATTCAACTAAATTCTAAATCAATATTTATTCTAATTGAATTTATTTCATTTCTATGTTTATTGATAATAATATTGGATCTCAATGAATTTTAAATTGAATTTGTTTTGAATATGTAATAGACTTCTATTTCAATTCTAAATTGAACCTAATTACATTCTAAATTAAGTTTATGTATTATTCTAAATTAAGTTTATGTCTTTTTAAAATTCATTATAATCAAATTAGAGGTCAATTTTATTCTAATTTAGTTTTGTTGTAATTGTAATTATCTTTGATTATTCTGGATCTAATATTAAATTCCAAATTGAATTTATATGTGAATTTGCAATATATTTTTATGTCCAATCTAATTCTAAATTGAATGTATTTGAAATTCTATTTATTGGAATTCAAAGTGAATTTGCAATTTTTATTAAAGTGAACTATTTATAACATAATTGTATATCAATATTGCAATATTGTTCTATTAATTAATTCCTAGGTTAAATATCTTTAATTCAATTCTACCTTAGGTCTAGATCAATTTCAATTTGAATAATGGATTTTGGTTTAATATTATTCATTCAATTCTAATTTAATTCCAATCTATTTCTCATTTAATTCTATTTCATTTTGTTTTGCATTAAACATTGTAATTGTGTTTATTCCAATTTCCAATTGATTTGTTACAGTAATGATTTCTAATGTTAACGTCTTTATATAACTTAAATTCAATTGATCTATATATCTAATTTTCTAACTTGATTCCAATTCAATGCAAATGGAATTCTAATTGAGTTTTGCTTCCATCCTAGAGAATGAATATTATTGGTGGTATGAATATATTTCATTAAAGAAAGAATATACTTCCATATTGGAAAAATTTCATAAAAATCTTTTATGTTCAAAGCAAGATCAATTCCCTGGAAATAAATGTTTTATTGTATTTAAAGATTTTGTCCATACATTGGTCAGCATATTTATCATGTGGTTGAGTGTTTGTTTAATCACTGATTGGTGGAAGTTGATTACAGTCACCGGCTCCTATGATGAGTTTATTGTGTTTATGTTGTTCAGTAGAGTTTAGAAACTTACCATAGATATATAGATTGGTCATATAGACTTCATCAAAAAAATATAACATCAAATTCACGATGGTCAAACTCTGGTAGTTCATCCCCCTTATGAACTGGGATTCTAAAGAACATGTTATAGGTTGTTGAATCACCTTCTATTTCTTGACTTAACCTATTATGAGGCACCACGAATAAAACATTTTTACCCATCTTCTTAAAATACTGTCCTATATATGACTTGCCTGATCCCGCAAATTTTGCTCTGATCATACATGGGTTTAATTCTTCAACTTGCTTACATATTGCTTTGGTGTCCCACTCATCCACCACATCTATTGTTTCATTTTCGATTTTTGGAATTTCAATTAAAATGTTATGAATAAACGTGTATTTATTAGTTGGAAAGTTAATTGATTTGTTTGTCATCCTCCAGTTGCCTATACCTGCTTCAAAACTCAATATTCCGTCCCTCACAGCCATGGGCTCGACAGATAGCAGAGAAGCAAATTGAACGATAAAAGGAATACTATGAGCCAGACAGGATGGGCATAGGAATTTTGTGAAATTGCAAAACTAAAAAAAGAGACAAAAAAACAAACTCATGGCTTGCAGACGGTCTTGGGTCCAAAGGTTTTCTTTTTGGTTTTCCTGAGTGCAGTGTCCAAAACCTGTTGAAAAAACAAAAAAAATAAAAAACAGACTCATGGATTGCAGAGGGTCTTGGGTTGGTTGGTTTGTTTTTTTTTGTTTTTTTTTGTTTTTTTTGGTTCTTTTTTTTTAATTTGTTTTGTTTTTTTGTTTTTTTTGTTTTTTGGGTTTTTTGGTTTTTTGGTTATGTGACACTGAAGACACTGAAGCATTTAGTAGAATACACTCACTGAAATATAGTGTTTTTGCACTAGTCTACTAGATATGCAAGAATACAGTGAAAGTTTTAGCGCACGCTGGTGGTAACGTGTTCTGTATTTTTGTTGGTGAGTATTTTCATGTGTATTTACATATCGACTTTTACTGCAAGGATCGATCCGTCAGGAAATCGAGTTGGAAAAGAGTGGAGCACCAGTCAAAAGCGAAATGGAGCGCCTCTAAAGGCAGCTTGAAACGGTCGGCCAAGGCAAAACAGCACGAAGCATCCGAGCTCGGGTTCCTTCGTGCCGGTTTGGCCGCTGATCCGCCATCCGATGGATCTAATCCACCGCTCACTCCAACTCAATCACGGAGGCTGCACCCATGCCACTGCCCAGGCACATGGAGGTCACACCATACCTCAACACTGTGCCGATGCGCTTGCGCAAGCTTGCACATGGAACATCAATGAAAACCTCCACTCTCCCTCCCCTCACTCCTACGGTGTGAACAAGTTCTGCATCTGAAGGACCTGTGTCCGACGCCTTGGACGTGCTGCCCACCTCACCTTCTCAGCGACGGCCTCTCCAACCTAATAGCAAGACCCCCCAACAAAACACCATCTGCTTCCGTTTCGAGCACGTCTGCCCACACCGAGCGGCTTCTTGTTCTGTCGCTTCAGCTCCGGCAGCAGCGTGGCGATCTGCCGGGCACCGGTGGCGCCCAGCGGATGGCCCAGGGCGATGGCGCCACCCTTGGGGTTCACCTGGCGCCACAGAGTGGAGCAGCTGGCCAGAGATTGAAGGTGGTTTGGTCGATTTTCGCAAGATCGAAAGTGTCCAAACACACACGCCATGAGATCGATTTGAAGAGATGTGTCTACATCGTGTCTATGACAGAAAGACAGTAGATGTGTCCAAAACACAACGCCATTGGGGAAGAGCGAGCCAACCCGCCGAACGCCCCCGGCGTCTGGGGATCCGCTTCGCGTTGATCCCACCTTCTCCATGGGGATCTTCAAGTGGTCAATGGACCTAAGAGATCGACCGAAGGCGCGACCGCGATCGATGCGTTGGTCAAGCAAAAAAAGGCAGCTCCAGTGGATGCCAATGGGCTGCAAAAGAACATCACAATATCTATAATCTCTATATCATATCTGTCATATCTAATAATCGAATTAATATCATGCATATCTGTAGTTACCTTCAACTGTTCGCAGTGAAGAACTTATGGAATTGTAGTCACGCAGCGTCACGCCATGTTTTTTTGGTCCGCCCACAGGCTATCCCAGTGTCCACCGTGCTCTTCACCCGTCCTTTGCCGTCCTCCGAGGCGCATGGTCGCCTGGGACGCGAAAGCCTCGTTGATCTCGTAGACGTCGATGTCCTCGACCTTCAAACCAGCCTGACGGACAGCTAAAGAGCGCACCAAGGGGGAGACAGTCCAAACCGGGGGAGGCCTGGGGGAAAGAGCACTCGAGCCCCTCCATTGGAATGATTTGATATGTTTTGAACCACAAGAAATAGGAGAAGAACTTGCTTGACATTTCTTGCAATTCCTTGGATGACTTTGGACCTTTTAACTTCACAGATGTTTCATCGTGCCTTCTCAAGTGCAGGAGGAATGGCGAAGGCAGGGCCAATGCCCATGAGCTTGGGATCCACGCCCACCTCAGAAGATCAAGGGCAACAAATGACCGATCTGTCGACAGATCGCGAAATGACCGAATTCTTCCGTCCTCCTTTCAGAACGCAACTCCAGGTCTAAAAGAGACTACTCCAAGTACCAACGATTCCAAGTCAGAACCTTCGACCTTCGCTCCCTCTTCGTCCTTCGTCTTTTGCGGGGTTCCCCGGCGCAGGCGAAGGAGCGGAAGCGCGCCACGATGGGCAAACCCAACTTCTTGGCCGCGGAGCGCCTCGATTTTTAGTCGACGAACGGTCCGTGATGTTCGGCCGTCGATGTCTGTGATGAGTTTCCAAAAAGAAGAGAGTGGACAACAATGAGTTTGGAAGAGAAAAT